ATGATTTATTGATAGTCTCGAAAACCTACTTTCACATGAAGAAGGTGTGATCTGAAAGGGAGACTTTTGAGTTGTGCTAAAAATTCTTCGCCTCATCCTCAGCCTCAGCCGGCCGGTGAGCTGACGACTTGTTGGCGCAATTCAACAATTCCAACCAATTTTTCCCTCGAAACGAAAAATCCACTACCACTAAGGTCGACTTTGTCTATCCACATCAGTCCCATGACAGGAATAGTAAATAAGGTGATTTCTGGCTTTGCTAAAGAGCCACATCAACGGGCAGCTGCCAATGCCTTCGACCCAGGTTCATATCCCGTTGGGCTGCCGAACCAGCAGTCCAATTCGAATGGGAAAACATATCCGTTGACAACGCTAAGTGAAATCCCCCGCCATTGTCATGCCTGCAAGTCATTTGATTGTGGAAAATTCAACCATCGATTCCCCCATCAACTAAAGCCATCTCAGAGGACTCGAGCTCTTATTCGGGCTCGACAGATAGTTTCGAAACCCACTAAATAGGTAACTATAACCACAGCTACATGCGTCCATGCCTCCTGGCAGGGCTAACAACGGCGTCCTGCCTACCCATCATACCGGCTCCTACTCCTCCCAGACAGACTGCCTCTCCCAGTTCTACCAAGGCAGTGGCAATGTCTGCTGTTAGAAAAGCGCGACAATTCACAAGCCAGCCTGCAAGGCAAAATTAAACAAAGTTCTACAGACAGACAGACAAATATACATATTCACAGATATACAGCATACATATGAGCATAGAGAATGATAGATATACAGTCAGACAGACAGACCTACAGAAAGACTAATGAAGAGACAGAGATAGAAGAAGTGGTTTGAATCCATGTAAAGATCACCCCCACTGAGCTATTGTGTTTCACATGAGAGAGCAGATGGCCCCTAATCACAATCCTAATCAGTGGGCCACACTGCAAAATCGAAATACACTTTAGAAATGTCTCTGAGACGATCATGAAAAGATCGTTGAAGATCTTTTGATTGAGTACAAATCCCGTCTGGTACAGATGGGCTAGCCTAAGTCTGCCATCGCTTTAGTTATTCATATATCCTTACGTTTCTATAGTTTGTCGCCACAATCAACCGTCTATTCTCACAGCCGATATGGCATATTTTAACCTCTCCGTAGGCAGCTTGGCTTGCTTTCTTTCCCCTATTTGCCCCGTTTTCTCCAACCGACCCGCCTCCATCCCTTTTACCTCTCGCCACCTTTCCGTGCCTGAAATTCCGCCATTTTTATGCGATATCCACCCCGTCTTTTCTCTTTCGCTGGCTCGTTCGCTTTCTCCATCTATCTATCTTTATATTTATATATAAATATATATATCCACCTACATATCTATATATCTATCTTTATATATATTTTGATAGATATATATATATATATATTTATGTTTATATAAATATAAATATATAAATATATATATTTTTTTTAATTTATATATATATATCCACCTACCTATCTATCTTTATATATATTCACCTATCTACCTACATATTTATCTATCTATCTATCTTCATATACATTTAGATATATATATATATATTTATGTTTATATAAATATATATATATTTTTTTTAATTTATATATATATATATCCACCTACCTATTTATCTTTATATATATTTTTATTTATTTATATATTTATGTTTATATAAATATATCAATATAAA